CCGCCGCCCCGCCCCCCCCGCCTCGGCGGGACTGCCGCCGCTGCGCCGTGCAGCCTGGGCACAGCCACCGCCCTGGTGGCCTCTTAGTGAGGTTGACGCACCCGAAGTGGAACCATTCCCCTGGGGTTTTTTTGGGTCGTTTTTTTTTTTTTAGGCAACGCCACACGGACGGAGGAACGGACGCACAAAGACACAAAAAGGCGTACCACAAGGAGACAAGAGTGTCAGCAGGGCGCGGGGGAGGGTCTGCTGGCCATCATCATGAGCGACAGCAGCACACATACAGGAACACTTCCTAATAAGCACCTGCTTTGGTGAACACACTATGTAGACTCACCGCTTGCTGGACCTGGTTACGACGTGTCAATATCGCCCCATCAAGAACCTTTACATGTAGTCATGTACAACAAGCATTGGAATCCCCCCCCCCCCCCCCCCCCGCCTTACCCGGACACGATCTGCTGAGCGAAACCGAGCTTCTTGGCGGTGAAAAAGTCCCCCGATAACACGCTCTCCGCGATCGCAGATGCCAGCACAGATAGACCGCCGGCCCTGATGAAAGCCACCACCCCGCCGCGTCAACGAGCAAGTGCGCGTACCGAAAGAGGTGTGTTGTTGGCTACGGTGGGGAAATCGGAGCGCTGCGTTTTCGTCGAGCTCACCATCGGCCACTCGCGTTTTGCAATCGGCCACAACAACAACCGACACTACTGGCGACTTTCGGTTTCGTCTCGAAAATATCATACAGGAATTGCAAGAAGTTTAACAGCAAGCAAGCACGAGTGTTGCTTGAGGATAAAAGGAGCAAGGCACCTTGGATAAGAACGAGCCCAGTCGTAGCACATGATCTCCGCCTCAGGGCAGGGCGCCAGCCACAACAGCGCTCGCAGCACGAGCGCCGGCCTGTTGAGCGAGCTGCCCAAGGGCGGGAAGAACTTGGGGAGGATCTTGTCCCCGGCCTGCCTTCCCACCACCAACGCCCTCGTAACCTGTCAGTTGAGGAGCATTGCCGTAGTGGATGGCGATCAGAAGAAGCATGCGCAACCTTGCACTGGGAGGTGAGTATAGTGAATGAAAGCTTGTGATTGCCAAAAGCTGTTTAGGTCTGTGCTTTGTTCTTCTACAAGGACTCCTGCTGTAGTTTCCGGCAGTAATCCCTTGGTCCCTAACGTCGTATTGTTGGTGAACATGGGACATCTAGAACGGCTTGTTCTGCATTCCCTGAAGAGCAAATCACCTCGTCTATGAAGCCTTGCCACCCCCCCTGGCCAATCTCTTTCTCCCCTGCCTGTTGCTGCAAGGATCGGATCTTGTCCCTCGTCAGGTCTGCCAACACCCAACGGGGGCCACCGTTGCTGTTCCTTCTGCTGCTGCTGCTGCTGCTGCTGCTGCTGCTGCTGCTGCTGCTGCTGCTGCTTCTGCTTGTTCCATCGTCTATGCGCTCCTTGCAAAGGTGGCAGTAGTTGAGACAGTTCAACTGCGCCGATAAGCCGTAGTTCCTTGCCAGCACGTCCTGTGCGAGGATGTACAGGTCGGGTGATATTCGTCAGAACTGTCTTTCCGCAAGGGCATCCAAGCCAAGTGTTGGTAGAGCGAAGACCCGCTTCATGCCATTTACCCTCTGGGGGTGGGTGCGATTTTCAGCAAAAAATACGCACAACAAACACATCAGGTACATCACCTCAGGGTGTGGTCCCAACGAATGATTCAAGCGCTTGGATGAGGGGGCATGTGGTCAACATCCTGTGGCTTGCTTTTCCGGTCGAAAGTCGTGTCGTCTCTGCAAGGTGGATGTGCCAAGGTGGATGTTTCCTCCAGAGCCTCGGTACAAGTAGCAGTAGTACTGAGACTGGCCTCGTATCGTCGCCCGAATCCAATAAGGGGGTCGTGTCAACGTGGGAACGTTCTCCACGCGAAAGTCGTACGACTGCAGCAGGTTTGTGCCATCAGATACCGCGCTCTCCAACAGGACACAACTGTACGTGTGCAGAGGGCAAGCCAAACCAAGTGTCTAATGTTGTACACGTTGGACGATCAATCGAAACTGCCGTGAGTTGAGGCTCTCGCCGGGAATTGGATAGAGACAGCGGTCGAAGTGTGAACGCGGTTGATTTCTGCTGCTTCCTTATGCTGCCACTTCGTTTCACCTGTTCCCTCGTCGGGTAGACGTACTCCGTTACAGCTCTATTGCCGTCAGCATCCAGTTCGGATACACCCGGCCCAGCGATCAGCTCGAACAGCACCCGATCATACGAAGATGCGTCTCTCATAATCTCAGTGTAGTAGGCCTGGTCCGCGAGATGCACCATCGACACCAGAACGATGTCAACAGCATCTTCCGAAGTTCGTGGGCGGAGCTTGTACGCCGCCGTCTGAAGCTCTACAGCGTCGCGATACTGAACTAATCGGAACGCGTTGTCGTCCTTCGGTAGAGCTCCATTTCCGTCTGCCGCAACAGGCATGGCAGTACGCAATGCCCGCAGTGTTCCATGCTTTCGAGAGCTAAAATTCAAACACGGCTGTAGGCCTGAGGCTCCTTGAAGCGCGATGAACACCGCAGACACCCCTAGAGCCACCCCCGCAGAAAGACATTTGAACCGTGAATATTCGTCAGGTAGGGGGCGAGTCATGGCCCACGAGGGGAATGCTCCTCCTCGCTGTGTACTGCTGTGCTGCAAGACAAACCTCGGTGTGACACAGTGGGCGGTGATGTTGGAAATGCGGCGAGATTGCTACAAGCACCCCCCTATTTTATTTGATTCCTTCCGCGGTGCCGCCAATGTTCCCACCAGGTCACGCCCACACCCTCCCCGGGCGAGACGAGCGAGTACAAGAGGAAGAGGAGTGCCTCACCGAGAAGGAGAAGGTTGAATAATTCTGTGTGTTCTTGTGCCCATGGTGATGGCAATGGTTGCTCTACGACGGGGTGCTGGAGTTTTCCAACGAGGCCTTCGGCAGCAAAGCCGACCGAGAGGTTCTGCTTGCCTCTCACAGCAGGCCAAGGTGCCTCGAGCATGCAACACCGCCGTCTCCGTGGCTAGCTTTGGCAGGTGAGAGTGGCAAACACGGTACGCGCTTGCTGTTAGTCTCTGCTTCCACGCTGATGTGATGTAGCCGACCTTGCAGACGTGGCAGTGACATGCACCAAGCAACACCCATGAGCTATGAAACGCGGCGCAATGCATTATTAGTCGGACACGACATGGGGACGCATATTGATTTGTCTCCCGCCTGGGGTGAAGTTGTCAACACGTTGAGACTCCTTTCTGCTGGAGTTCTTGCTCTCGTTTCTTCTACACGGGAACCTGCCTCTCGTCCAATGATTGCATTAGTCCAAAAAACCCTTCTTGATCGTTTGTCCTGCCCTCGACTCTACCGTCTCTGCCGAAAACAGCCGGAGCTCGCCCACAGCTGGGCGCTGGAGCGCTTGTGTTTCCGTTCACAGAAACGAGGATTTGCGACCATTGGTTTCGCCGGTGGTACCAGTAGCGGTGGCGTTGCGTAGCGTGCAGCACTTGTCTAGCAGCGGGAGAGGAGGAAGAGAAAAAAGAGGCGGCGCAGACAAGCGGCGAAGAAGCAACACCTCTAACAACTCCCGGGAGGGCAAGGAGAAGGAGGAGAAGGAGGAATACACTTTCCTCGAGAAAGATGACCTTGGCAGACTGTCGAACGAGCCCAAGGTGCGTGTACGCGTGAAGAGAGGGAAGCTCTGTATGTTTCTACTGCTGTTGCATTCTCAAGACCAACAAGGAGAATGAGTGATCACGTACCGCGGTCTCTTCGCGTTGTATTATGAAAGTGATCTTTGTATTGCGAACGCATGGCTACACCTGGCTCACGAGAAGAAGACGATCACTTCGGGGCAGTAACATTGATTCGATCATCCAACCGACAGCACCTTTGAGAGTACGCACGACCAAAACAAAAAGATACTATGTAATACAGACGCGATACGTTGCTGGGAGCAGGCATCATTCACTACTACGCTGCTGCGTCGTGCTGCTGGCTTTTAGTCAACGGTCACCCGTTCATGCTGTGCTGTCGCTTTTGTTGGCCGCCGCAACGTTTTGGACGTAGAGTGGGCTCAAGACGGACACGGCGGCAGCTAGGGGGGCAGAGGAAAAAGTGGACGCAACGAACGTGACCCTGTGAGTATGCAATGAAGCAATTTCGACAGTGCGGGCATCGCAAGCGACTTTTAGCATGTTTCTTGTGCAGCAGTACCCGGGCCGGTACGGCCCTCGAGGCTGCTTGTCGGAACGTTTTCTGTCGTAGTCCCCAGTCGTGATTCCCACCGCTGCTGTCTGTAAGGGAACACATGTTCGGACTTCAAGCACCCCCTCCCTTCTTCCCTCGATTGGGAACATTCCCCGGGGGAATTGGGTCGTCGGTAGCGCACACAGGGGAGGAGGGTCATTATCGACGGCGACCGTCATTCGTTCCGCCCTTAACACGACAAAAATTTTACTGCATCAGCATGTGATGTCAATTTGATTGTGCTTCGGGGGAGTCGGCCTGATGGTCTACAACTGCTCATTTTCACTGAACCGAAGCCCACCGTGTTCTGACATTCTGCGTCTGTTTCCTGCAACGCGCTACTCTAAATAGGTGGCAGCGCTGGAAGCAGGCGAGGGCCAAGATGAAGTTGCTGTGGAAACAATACGGCCTTGTTTGGATCGGGACCTACACCGTCCTGTACTTCGGCGGGCTAGCAGGGATCTACGTTGTTTTGGACACGGGTTTGGTGGCATCTGATGTGAGCTCTGCGCAGTCGTTAAGAGCTTGATTGTCCCGGCGAATGCAGCTGCACTAAGTGGTGCCAACCAGCAGGGGCGGGTTGGAGTTTGCCCGAGCTTCGCATTCCTACAGTAGACGCTGCAACACTGGCCGCATGTCTTTTTCGTGAAGCAGGAGTTCCTCTACCAAGCAGATGGCGATTTTGTGTATCAGGGCTGATGATGGCTGATAATTCGGCGTTGGGGTCGGGTCGTGCCCACCTCTGCAACGTAAAAGAAGAGATTCAGGCGGGTCCTATAGTGCATGACCGCCACTAACGAACTTGTGTCTCACACGCGTGAGATGCGCTGCGGCTATCTATTCCCAGGTGCCTGTGTTGGGGCAGTTGCGACAAATGGGAAGCTTTTGCGACACATGGGAGGCGAGCGCATGCTATTATAGGCATTTCCCGTGCACACGGTATCCCCGCTACCAAAGCGGCTGTTGAGCTCCTCACCTCACTCGTTGCCTCTTGTTGGAACCCTCCCGTCCCAGGTGGACACATCTCATGCGATCCAAGTCTTGGCGGACTACATCGGTGCCCAAGACAACCCCAGCGTGACTTGGCTTCAGAACACCATCAAGACCAACCCGAAGGCAAACACGCTCCTCAAAGCCGTGATCGTCAACGAGCTGATAGAGTACCCGCGAGATATCGTGGCGATTGCTGCCACGCCGTCGATTGCCCGCGCACTAGGTCGAGCCCCACCCAAGGCGAAGACCTGAACAGGCTTCATGGTCCGCTCAAGGCAGCGTTGACGTTTTAGCTTTGTGCTGATGTGACCAGCGTCTGTCTGATTTGGTTTTCAAGGCTAGAGGGACGACTACTGTTGTGCTAGGATTTAAACCCAAATCGCCCTCGGGTCCATCGAGAGTTGAATGGTACTGGTGATGGAATAAGGAGATTGGCGGTAAAAAACGTGCTTCTGCTGACAGCGTGCAGACCTTGTCATTTTTTGTGGTTTGTGTTTTTCGTCATCCGCAGAGTGGAGGAGTGAGGATTTGTTGTGTGTATTGGCGTATGGAGGCACACGGTGCAAAATAAACCTTTGCAATTTTTCTGCCCAGCGGGGGTGAACCGGCTTTGAACGAATCACGCATGACCTTGGGGAAAATGAAATGTTGGAGAACTTCATTTGCCAGGCGCTTAGGAATCTCGCCTCGCAGCCTTGGGACACAGACCACAAGAATCAGAGAGAATGCGGGAGTATACTTAGTGTTGACTCTTTTGTTGAAAGTGCAACACATGATAGCAACGGGGACGAGTCCATTACTTGTTAATCGGTTTGGAGGTTTGAAACAACCCAAGCAATACGGCAAGGCACCTACAGCAGTGCAGCCTACACGTACGCGGAATTTCCACGGTCTAAAGGGAGACTCCTTTGCACCGACTTCTCCCACAATGATGGCCTCACGAGCAGCTGGCTTCGCCGATCGTACAACTCTATGCGCCTCGGTTCCATCTCAGCACTTGACCCGCAACGGTCATTCTGCTATCGTTTCTCTCGTTCAGTTTCGTAGAACGCGCCGAAGAGATCGTCGAGCCCCTGCTGCACCTGCTCGGTTGTGGCTCCTGACAAAAGCTGCCTGCACGTGCACAAACGTTCCCGGGGCACCAACAACATCATCGACAAACGAACGACCGCAACGTGTTGGCAGGGATGATGAAACTGAGAGAGGGGCATCCACACGTCAACAAAATGCGTCGAAATGGGAGTGCTTCTGAGTAATGCGCTTCGAGTGCGGCACGCCCAACACTCGCCTGACCAAAACAAAGATCCAGGTCCAAACAACTCGAACCAAACAAGTTGCGCCCTTTTCTGACATAAGCGAAACGGTTTAGCTCTGCACTCACCATCTCACGAACTGGAATAAGTCTTCTCCCACTTCCGCGGTGCAAATCACCTCCGCACATGGCTGGCGCGCGGCACGCCCTTCATCGGGCAGTACCGTTTCTCGAGCTCCGACCAAGAGACGCCTTGCCTCCACTCCACAGTCCCAGCTGTGTACCACAGCACACACTGCAGGGGGATGCGTGCGGCGAGTAGATCCGGCAAGGTCGGTAGTAAACATCATCCGACAGCACATTCGCATGACGGAAACAGAGGAAAATGTCTCCAGCTCGGGCATCCGTTTTTTACGACACGCTCAAGAGAAAAAGAGGGATGTTTGAACAACGAAAACCTGACGTCTAGAAAACGAATATTAATATCGGATGACACGCACAACCATGTACGACAACACAAGATACACGCAAGCGTGGCGCACAGGCGGAGAGCTTACCCTTACCGTTTGCGCCCTTGACGACGTGACCGGCAGCAGCCGTAAGCGTCTTCTCGTCGCTGCAGCTGTGCACCAAAACAGGTACACCTGCCTCGTTGCGCAGCCGCTCAGACGTCTGCCGCTCGATAGCCCAGCCCACCTTGAGCATCTACCGGCAGGGTTCGAATACCAGTCGACGGAGCCCGACGGACGTACGGTGATGAAAAAAAACTAATATAATAGTTTGCTGTCTCACTCCAACCCCAGCGTCATAGAAGCAGGGGGGTTTGTACGACAAAACTTACCAAATAGCACCGGCAACTAGATAGCAAATTTTTCGGAAGGCATTCAAGATCAAGGGTGGAACCGACATGCTATAAATTACGATCACCATATTTCTCGGGCACTCGGGAGTGATTTACACCCAAAAACAGGTGATTCATTCTTGGGCAATTGTTCGGCAGCGCCACCTGGGCAATTTCAACATGACGTTCGATCGACCTAATTACCTTCGCAGCCAGCCACCGGAAAGATTCGTCGTCATCCGTGTCGTAAACCAACACCCGGTTGATTCCGGCATCGGGGGTGGTGGGCCTCCTCCTCCCGTTCTCCACAAGCCAGGCCGAGACCGCGCCCAGCGAGCGACCCATCGTGGACCTGACCTGTCCGAGCCGTGCGGCGGCGACCCTGACACCGCGTCCAACCCCCTCGAGCACGACCAGCACCCTCGCCGCTGTGCTGGCTGACGGGCCCTGCTCGTCATCGTCTGCTCGGGCGGTAGCGTCTCCATCTACTCCCGTGGTATCCTCCTCTTCCTCCTCTTCCTCCTCCTCCTCCGCAACAGCAGCGGTATCAGCCCCCAATTCCTCGTCAGGGGCGACGAAGCCCTCCGTCGTGTCAAGCTTGTCAGCAGCTGCTGCCGCCGTTGTCAAACCTGCGGGGTCACGGTCCTCACCCAAGGCTATTGGTTCTGCTACGAAACCGGCGGGTTCGCCGTCTGCCGATGACCCGCTATTGCCTGGCGACGCGTTTGCTTCGTCCGCAAGGGCGTCGTCGTCCCCGTGGCACTGCTCGGCCCAAGACAGCACCGACAGCAGCAGCGCCGCCCGCGCGTCTATGCTTACCGTCGTCGTAGTGGACCCCTCGGCACAGACCAGGCGCCTCTCCGCCAGGAGGACGCTCGCCAGCCTCCCGGCCCCCCGCTCTCTTCTCCTCTCCTCGAGAGCTCTTCGCAGCATGGCCAACCCCCACACCGCCTGATCCTCTCCCAGCCTCCCCTCTCCACCCTTAACCTCGCGAGGCGGCGACATGAGGGTCTGAGGGGCGTCGGAGGACACAGCGTCCGCCTCCATAACTAGCACTATTTCTCGGCTGTCGGACGTCGCTCCCGCCTCCGCCAGCGCCGACACCACCGGCTGCCACGCCTCCCGGCAGAAGACACGGTCCCCGCCTATTCGGTAGTAGCACGGCCGCGGCGAGACCTTGGCGACGGCAGAAAGTGCCCCCTCGGAGAGAAAAGAAGACGCTGGGTCGCTCGACCTCCAGCCCCCGCTCCGGTGTCCGAAACCCCCGCCCGAAACGACCACCGGGAGGATGGGTGTCCGGTAACCCCCACGCCCAGCCATCGGCGCTACTAACGCTGGCTCTAAACCCCTAGCCCCGCACAACCGGACCACGCCTCCCGCGCTGGATTGGCCGGGGGGAGAAGGTAGAAGTATCGGGAGACAATCAATATCGCCGGGACGATGAGTGCAAAGGAAAGAGGACGCGAAACGAAGGAACATGGGCGGAAGAGGGAAAAACTTGACACGCGGGAGAGGGAGGGAGACAAAGCACGACTGTTACACATGGTGCTGCACCCTCTGTTCCTACAAACAAAAACAACACATGATTCGTGATCAAGCACTACGTACTGCTGCGGTGGATGGCACCATGAACGTCGCATGGCAATTTGATACTGTAGCTGCGCGCACGAGATACAGCAGTTGAGGCGTGTCAGTGTGGTGGGTGCCTTCACCTTCCGTCGCCAAAGCCAGAGGCAGACCAACTTGGTACTTCGAGTCCATCGGCGACGGCCTGCTGATAGGCTTCCATTCCCCTGCCTCCTGCTAGTGCTACCTGGAACAATCGAAACGTGGCAGTCAAGCGCAACATCGCGAACGAAGTCGATCGCAGCTGCCAAGCAGGAGGATACCCTGGGGTGTGTCATTTTCCGACACTGCACCGTCCTACAATCAGCGGGGCAACTACAATCAAGGCACACGGTCTGCGACGAGGAGCAGGTGTCTTGTACGTCTACGCAGCAACCAGCCGCTTGGACGGCTGTTTCGACTATCACGACCGCAAAAAAGCATCGAGCGGGTAGCACAACGAAAACCCGGTAAAAACCAGCACAGAAGACCCGGTTAAAACCAGTACCCACACACATACCCGACCCGTGAACACACCTGGAACACAACGCTGAGCACCGTATACCCCGCAACCGCGGTTCGCAAGGCCCGCAAGTTGGCCGCGTGCGCCGCTGCCCTCGGACACGCTCGAACGGGCGGCGGGGTCGCCATGGCAGAAGCCACGCTGGAAGCCGGCACCTTGCCTCCGACGAAGCTAGGGATGGTGTTGTAAATAGCGTACCTGGGCCGTGTAAAGGCATGCCGGCAGGTACGTGCGTAAGCAAGACATGGGGGTAGTTGATAACACAAATTCGTCAAGGACCCGAGCAGAGATGGATAGAGGGTGGCCGCGCACGCGCTACTGCATGAGCCAAGCACAAGACTACCTGACACGCTCTCTATGTTATTGTTTACGTGAATGGGTTGTAGTAGTTGTACACAACCGACATGGGTGAGCACGCCGTGAGCACCATGCAGCCTGTCTGGGGACCCATCAGGTGGCGGCCTAGGTTTCGAACGTCAAAACAACAGTAGCCGGCAACACCACCACCACCAGCAACAACGGCAACTACAACGGCAACAACACCAGAAGACAATCACACCACCGACGAGCAAGAAGCCGTGGTACTTGTTCCGGTCCTTCCCCTGTTCAGTGTTGGACGCACGGGCTGCACAGCCCGTGCGTCCAACGCTGCACAAGGGGACGAGATCGAACAAGTACCACGACGACCGCTCAGCAGCAGGCTCGTCTTGCTCGTCGTTGGTGTGATTGTCTGTTGGTGCTACTGCCGTTGTAGATTCCGTTGTTGTTGTTGTTGCTGTTGTTGTTGTTGGTGGTGGTGGTGTTGTTGTTGTTGCTGCTGCTGCTGCTGCTGCTGTTAGTTGTATTGTTCCAGATGCTGCGTGAAACGCTCTTCACATCAATTGCAAACTCTATCTGTTTTCAAGTACGCATACCTGGTGGGAAACTTGAGGTCACCCTTGAGGGCAGAGACTGTAGCGCCCTCCGCCATGCCCACCACAAACACAAAGCTTGTGGCGAGACCAAGACCTGCCCAGGAATGCGCATACGGCAAGGACGTTTAGCGTGTAGGTCACACAGCGGTGGGGGCGTCCCCTGCTGCAGAGGTCAGGACTCAAAACCCTCTATTCGCGGGACCGCGGGAGGTGTGCGGGACATACCGCGTAAGTGCGAGTAAAAACACATATACCACGAGTGATTGCACAGATCGGAGCGATCGCAAAGAAGTGCGAAAAATAAGGGAGGCGCGAAACAAAAGTTAGTAGAAGTTTGTGATTTGATTTGGTTGTCGCACAGGAAGGTTGAGCTTTCGCAGCCCCGTGGTAACTCTTGCTAAACCCCATTACATGATCGGCGTGGTCGCAGCTGTCGGGTTATTGGCACAAGGAGTGTGCGTGAAAAGTACCAGTGCCGATGTTTCCAATTACTCCGAGTTATTCAGTATCGCACCAATCGGAGGTGGTTGCACAGCAGTGCGGAAAAAAGAGATGAAAAGCTCGAAGCATATGTGGGATCGTACATTTCACTCGTCGCACTCTTTCGGTGGGTGTGTACAGCAGTAGTCGCGTGCATATACAAGCGTAGGGGGAAAAGTGGTTTGCGGTGTAATACGCATTCGCAAAACCTTCCACATCCAATTGTACTTACTGCGGTGTTGGTCGAGGTCTTGTCAAGTACAAAGAAAGCTTCTCAGGAAATGCGCACCGTACATGCCATGTTTCCCTTGCCGTTCAACACGCGCGACGATACCGTACTCTACTGCTTATACGTGCATACGTGGCATACGTTTACCGTTTGTGTAGCAGACATCCTGCAGCAGTTACTGCTATTCACAGCAGTAGTGCGTGCTGAGGATTGACAAGAATGTCCAAAATGGGCAGCACACTCACGAGCCAAATGGTCCGGCGCATCCTTCCGAATCTCCGCGTTCACGTACGGTCGCTGTCTTCGCCACACCTGCAACGAAAGAGGGCGCAGCATATCAACTGCTACTTCGCATGGCTTTTGCTTTGTGTTCACTACTGCTACCAGTACAGCAGTGCAGCGTCTGCTGTATCAAGCCGCGACAATCAGTTTCGAAGCCCCAAAGCACAAATACTATACAGCAGTAAACGCCAAGGTTGGGTCAAGAATGTTGGCAGGGTTCATTGAAATGGGCGTCGAGAATGAATGAGGTGACATATACGTGTGCAGCAGCTGTGTACGCTTCTATATCACTTTCCAGCAGCAACCAATGTTGTAAACAGAGCATGTGGGAGCAGTCATGTAGTTCTTGGTGATGCAACCTTGATCCAACCTTGCATCAGTCTAATGATACTATTTTGCAGCAAAGATCTTCACCTCAACATCCCGCCATGCCATTGGAACGTGAGGCTTCCTCGGCACTTAGCCTCCTCAGGATCTTCCTCCGCCTCGCAGAAGCAGCTCTGCTAGGCAGGTTGCAACACACGCCCCCCTGCCCTGCTGTGCAGAGAGACAGCGCAGCAGCAGTCCAGAGGCGCGGGGAGGAGCAAAGACCCCATGACAAAACATTATCCCAACCGCGGGGCCCCTCGTGGCTTGCCAGTCTGTTCAGCAGGCATGACACGCTGTCTGCCTGCACAGTGCTTGGAAGCCAGAGGGCAGAGGCCGATGGGATGGACATGTTATTATTCCTGCTGGTGACACTGCTTTTGACTTCCTCGGTTGGAGGCTTATTTGTCCCCTTGCTTACCACTGGGCCGGGCTGTGGCCGTCGAGCTGCTGCTGCTCCCCAAGCAGTCCATCATGAATACGGCAGGTTCAAGTCGTCCCGCCGCTTTGGCAGTAGCAACACGGGCGACGCACCGGCAATCAACGAAGGCCTCGTCGATGCCAACGCCCCTGCCGGAGGCAACCAATCGGATCCCTTTCGGCTGGACAGTCTACCGTTCATGGCGCTCAACGCCAGCTCTGACGCTGCCACCTCCCTCGCGGTGGCGCCTACAAGTAACTCCGCGAGTGGGTATCAGATAACGCGGCCGCGTTGGTACAACAAGGCGGAGGTGGCCATCATCGTCCTGCTCTGCCAGCGCCTAAGGATGATCGACTTGAAGGGTGTCGAGCACATGCTCGATGCGGCACCAAAGTTCGCGAAGGAGGACCCGGTGAGAGAGCCGGTGCGCAGCCGAAAAGTTCAAGTACGTCGTCCTTGCATGTTTCGTCATCCACAGCAGTCATCCTGCCGGAAGCGCCGTTGCTAAGTACTGCTGTGGGCAACATGACAGCGTCGGAGATTGCTGTGCAGTACAAATGCAGCAGGGCACGATCGACTCCTGGAGTGATGTACCAGCTCTAGCACACGCCCCTAGTCTTGGTAGCAGTGACTGGGCGGCAGGTCGCGCCTTATGTCACCTTTGCATCCATACTGCTGTTGTCGGTCGTCGCATTCGTGCCTGCACTCCATTACAGAGGGACGTCTGGCAGCGAGCGCTCTATCTTTCCAAGGCAGCACCAGGAGCCAACTTCCGAACGGTCATCCAACGACATCCCAGGGTGAGACGAGTATTCCGGGTCGAAGATGGTGAGGGGTGCTGTGTGTTTGCCCTTGTGCGGTACGTGTGTTGTTAGAGTTAGGCTTGGTTTTTGGCGCGTTGTTTCGGTTATGCTCCGTGTCCCTCCTGTCTACATGTATAGCTATGGGCATCGTGTTTAGCAACAACTGCCGTCGCTCGTGTGCCCTCAGAGGTGCAGTTATTTTCAACGACATTCGGGATTCAACCAAGCTTATGCCGTAGAAAAACTGTTTCCCTTCTTCCGATGCCATGTCGTGTCCATGATGTTGTCTACTACACTAAATAGCCGCTTACCATGATATGCTTTTGTGATGCAAGTGCTTTAGGTCACAGCTTGTCCCACCATTCCGCGTCACAACTTGTCCCACTATTCCGCTTCACGACTTGCCCCACCATTCCGCTTCCCGGTCTCAACGCGCAAGTGAGTCGCCCCTCTGGACCCCCCCCCCCCCCCTTCCCCCCATCACGACCTTCTCCATCGGGCGTTTGTGCATACCTGCCACTACCGCTGCTACGGCTGTCGACAGACCCTTCTCGTCCCTGTTCACAAGATGCAGCATGTCCTCTCGCTGCTCAGCGAGGCTTACCCAGACGCCAACATGGCCAGAGTTGTGGAGCGCATCCCTTCCGTCCTCTCCAGGAACACTACAAGGTGACGGAACTGGCTTGTTAACTTGGACACACAGGCCTTCGACGTCAACGATCAGGTCGCACACAGGAGTTAGCCGGGGGATACTAGAATACCTGCTCTCGTAGATGCTCCAAAGAGGGATCTTACTAAAGCTGCTACTACTTGTAGTTTCTGTGCACGCGCGACGCTGGTCTCGTGCGTGAGGTAGATGCAATGCTAGAACTGTTAAGAGTCGGTTCATGCGCTCGAACCAATGTATGCGACCACAATCTCCCCCAACAAAACAGCAGAGGGGACGGGACGGAGAGAGAGAGAGAGAGAGAGAGAGGAGCCGGAAGGCGAGGGGTACAGCAAGGAAGAATTGACCTGTCCTCCCGGTCTTCGACGTTGGTCCAACCTTCTAAGTTGCTTTATTAGAAACATAGCAGCCCTTCCTTTCGAGGTGACTTTGCCAAGTGTTGCTGCTCTGGTGGAAACTAAGACGGTCCTTGTTCTGGACGCTTGTTTCAACGGGGTTTGCGCCGCGGATGCTCTTGTGCGCCTCGCCGCCGCAGGCTGGAAGACAATATTGCTGGGCTTAAGAAGTACGCTCCAGAGGTGAATTCGGCCATATTTCAGGTGTGTTGTGCCCGCGAACAGGCGCGCGCGTGTTGCGCATGTAGGCATAGATGGCATAGCCGGCTGAATAGGGAAAAGAGAAGTATGTGTGTGTATGCTTGCGCATGCATATCTTCTGCAATTGTGACCACAATGACACCCGTCTCGGCGAGACGTCAATCCATCAGCATTCATCAATGCGCTTGTACGTCCAAACAGGTCTTGAGTTTAAGCACGCCAAACAGTGCGAACCACTCTAGGTGTCTCTGCCAACCTTGAGCTTTCCGTGTTTCTGATGCGAGCCGCGCTCATACAGTAAAAGGGAATCTCGCTGGGTGTAAACCAGCGATAGTGTATCAAATTCACCGCAATGCGTGGTTCTAGGTTGTCGGCTTTGCCCTTCGGTAGCTCGCACAGCGGTCTGCGTGAGCTGAAGAAGTGTTTCACGATCATGGCACGGCGCCATGTCACAGACGGATAAGCCACCTTCCGGTTGTAGCCTGGGTGGATATTCTTTTGGAATGAGAGGTCGTGACAACATGAACGGTCGCCGTTCGCTGCTGCTGCTGCTGCTGCATTGCGCAGGCAGCCCCATCGATGGTCTACCTCCCCGCTCACACCGTGGAGGAGAAGGTGGCTGCTTTAAGAGCGTGCCTGCCAGGGATAGACCTCTACAACTTCCTCAAGGGCATGCCAACCGCTTTGGCCAGAAGCAAACAGACCGTGCCGCGAGGCATGGACCAACTCCGAGAAGTGAGTTTTTTTGTTTCGAATCTCCGTAGAAGTGGAGCGGCGCCCTCGGTAGGGGAGAAGGCAACGGCGGCGGCGAATTGCCATATAAGCCTTCCATGGGCTATTCTGCTGGTAGTGTTTCAGTTGGATGCTGGTGTACGCACGTGTCTTTGTTGTAGGTTTGGCGGCGCCACCTCGTCATGTGTTGTGTCAGACGATCCGCGTGTAGTGTCGCTCCATCGCTATGGCCGCTACCGTGTCGTGCCTGCTTCGGGCATTATTTCATCCATCCATGCTCTATCAAAAACGACGGCTTGCACATGAGAGCGTGGTTCTTTTATCAAGAACGGTTTGCGCATGAGAGCGTGCCGACTCCGACATTTTGCACATATACCTCAACCTTGATCATCTCAACGCGGCTGCTTGGAATACAACATGAACAACACATCAGCGTTTCCCGTCAGCGAGCAACCGAGAGCTAGTGCGGATCGTGGAGTCGGCTCCATCGTTGGTGCGCATGAGCGGTGCCAACGGCTCACTGTCCATCAAGGCAAGCGCAGAAAGGGAATTATCGCACCCGTCTTTTACTTTTCGGTGGCTGGTGTAGCCGTTTTTTCTTTTCATTCCAAGCTCACTGTCACCGTTCGTGTGAAGTAGATAAGCACGTTCTTTTTGGATGGGGGCGCGGTGGGCTCGGAAACAGCAAACAGACATCCCAGCGACGAACATGAAGATGTCGTTTCACTCTATTTTAGCCCCCTTCGAAGGCGTTGGTGAGATGTGCGTGCGACTGTCCATGAACCCTGACCCCGCGTCATGTTGTTCTCTGCCGTCGATGTATAGAGGAATGTCGAAGAGATTCTTGCCAAGAATTGCTCTTTGTATTGGGCTGATTTTTGTCATTTTGTTGTTAGTTGCTGTTCCACCATTCTCGCCTAAAAAGACCGTCGCCAACTCCACTCGTCGCCCTGTTTTCTCCCGCTCTGCCGATGGCACGCTCCTACACGAGCAGGTCGATAACTTGATGTCCCTGCTTCCCGGGGTGAACGTAACCAACGTCATATCAAATGCGCCGGGCGTGTTGATACGCGGCGTGACCAGCCTGCCAACAAAGGTGCGGCTGAACAGACATGGAACGAGTCCAATCACAGCTACCTGCTCCGAAGGATAGGTTATCATGTGCGTTGGGGTAGCTCTTGCCGAGGATGTGAAAAACTGCAATTAACTCAGCATGTATTTCCGAAGGTGGAATGAATGGCCGCGAGCTGTTGTTGACAGTTCTGTTTGAGATCTCTTCGCGTGGTTTGTGTGGTTTCCACGGACGTGTACATGCTGAGCCCTCGACCTACTCTACTTCACGAATTTGTTAGAAACGCTTCTTGCGCTTCTTAGGAAGACGGGGCGATCCTCTCTGAACAACCACCGGCTTCATTTTTGTGTGATCATGCATCATGCCTTCCAAACGATGGCCATGGGCTCGCAACCCCATTCGCACGCCCCGCAGGTGACAAAGCTGCAGGAGCTCTTCCCTTCCGCCAACGTGACCAAGATGGTGTCCAGGACACCCGGGATAATGTATCTCGATGTCGATCGCACCGTTAGGTCGAAGGCGATGTGGATACAGCAGGCCGTTGGGCTGGACCAGGAAGGGCTGGACCGTCTAGTGGAACAGGGTATGAACGCGGTGGTTGGCCTTGTTTCTGCGACCGTTTTAGTACGGCCGGGCGTGAAACCAGGCGTCTATTTGGTCGTAACTTTCAGTCTTTACTCTGTCATACTTAAGTCTCTGGTACACCCCAAAAGCCCGGTCATGCATCTACATTGTTTGCTCTCCGATTCGCACAGCCAAGTAGTCTGATCGTGTACTGCATGCAAGCATGCATGTGTGTACTACTTCTTTCTATTTTTGTTTAGTTGACGTTGGTTCGCTGGGATATTCGATTCTAAACACGTCAGCTGTGTTGGCTTGAGAAACATCACCACAACTGGCCACTGGCAGCCAGCCATGGGCTCATCCTGCTGCCTGCGTTTATTCTTCCCACATACCTTTCATGACACGCTGTGCTCTCATTTGCCCACCCCGGACGGATCACCTGGACGCACAGTTACACCCGACTCGCTCCCACGTGTGGTGTTCTGTCACAACACGATCGTTCGATGCAGGTCCGTGGCTGCTCAAGGCTGGGTGGGGGCCGCTGGCGCGGCTAGAGTTCGCGATTGAAGCCGGGGTCGCAACAGTAGACCGGCCTTCCACTATTTTTTCCCTAGTGCGGAGGTCTCGGTTAGCTTTCGCCAGGGCCCACCACGAATCGTACGGGAGCTTCTTGCGTAAAAAACTAGAGGAAGAAGCAATAGAACTGGGAGGTAGGGAAGGGGGGGGAGGGGGGGGAGAGGGCGGGGACCTGCATCATCCGCTGGCGTGGCGGGCGGCAGCTGGCAACGCCGTCGATGGGGGGCGTAGAGTATCGCGTCCCGTGTCCCCTAAGAAAGGCTCGGGGCCGAAGGCAGCTTCCGCGACGCTTGGTGGGAAGAGAACAGCTAGATTAGAAAACGCCGGGGCAACACCGGGGGTTGTCTTGGAATCGGGAGACGGGAAGGAGGAGGACCAAGACGCCTTGATGGAGAGAACGGCGTTAGAGGTGGCCGGGCTGGAGGACGCGTTGGGGCGTGGGCGCAAGTCGCGGTTAGGCGGGGTGAAAGACCGGCCGCCAAATCCTGGGCAGTCTCCTCTCGCCCGCTTGCAAGGCAGCCGGCATGAGGGCGACGCTCTGCTAGATCTGGGAAAAGAAAAAATCGTTGCGTATGACTCCCCCCCGCAACCTCAACTTGGTGCGTAGAGTGCGCACGCAAGGCGTTAAGGTTTGGTAGAAAGGGAAGAAAGGAGTAGCAGCTACCCTACGCCTCGGTGCCATTAGAGCAGGCCCGATGCTATACTAATGTGCTATTTTTTGTGTACCGTGGTGACATGTTAGGCAAGGCGTTAGGGGGGTAAGTGTTGGACGCATGGCCGAAGGGCGCGATTGAACAAGGTCAACTTTTTGGACCTGTACATACCATCATTCAAATGTTACTTGTTCCGCGACACGTGCCATTGGCGATGCGGTATGGAATTGGCCAAGGCTCCCGTTCAAACTCCTCTACACGGTTAAGTTTAGCTTTCCGTGTTGAACGGAATTACTGCCGTGTTTGCGCGGTTAACACGGAAGAGGCCCGTGTGTTCAGAGCGCTTACTGCTGTTGGGTAAAGATAGTGGGCGTTTGACGTGGAAGAGCGATATCACGCGGCTACTACCCGGCCTGCCGTAGGCAGCAGTCTCCCTCTTCCAAGTCTGCTGCTCTTTGGCAGCAGTAGCCTACAGGCAGGGCACTATGCCTCGCGCCGAAAACCTGTCGTGACGCACAACAGCAGTACGTACGTACCCGACGCCATCTGCCCACCGGACCCATGCGTCTTGATTAGAGCGGAACTGCCAAAACAACTTCCAGCGTGTTGTTGTAGCGCTCGGCCATTGCAACGAATAGCGAGCGGAGTCGGGCCTATGCATCAACCAAACCTGTCAACACTCGTTTACCCCAATCTCACAACATCAGAGGTGTACATATTTGCCGTTGTCAACACGGCGCACCAACCCACAAAGAGGCGCGTTGTTACCGAGGGATATCTTTATCTTGCTCCCCCCCCTCTGCTTCTGCATCCCCCTTCGCGGCCGTTGCTCCTAACCCAACCCCCGCTGCTGCTTTTCCCCCCTCAGCTGCCACCGTTGTCCCTTCGACGGCCGTCCCTGCTGAGTCCGTCACCCTGTGCCACTTGAGTAGTTCGTCCTCGAGCGGGTGTGTGGTCCCGTTAATGATGACAGAGTGGAGCGGTTCCCCGAAGTCAACGCCAAGTAGCTCGCTGGGGAGAAGGGTAGAGAGCCATGATTGCGACAACAAGAACCAACAGACACGCCACGTGAAGAAAAACACATTGGGAGAGATCAGCGTAACCTATGGAAGCTGGTGTGCGTCAGGGGTTGAAAACTGCAAACAACCAAGAGGTAAGCATAAACACAGCGGAAACACCACAACAGCGGGGTGCGATGAACGCCAACTAAGTGATAAAGAACCCACGTGTTGATGCATGAGAACAAACGTTGCATGGCTCAGCAAACGGTTGTTTATATCATCAAGCACACCATCGCACACAAGATGAGGTCCTGGCAGCACTTGTTTCGGCACGGCAGTTCAAGAAGCTGCCATGGACGGAATGAACGTGCATTCCCTTCGTGTCAGGAAATCTCTTGCCAGCGACGACTGCTAACGAAATTGTCTAACCTACAAGAACCAAAGGTTTCAACAGTGCGCTTAACTCGTGGATCATCTTCGACAACCCCCCACGACCCCCCACGACAAGAGAAACGCTGGTCACCTCATCGTGCCCGCCACAATCTGCTGTGTTGGTTGTCCCAGCCGAGCAAGCCCCACGCACTGCGAGTCCGGCCCGTACACCCCCTCACCCCTCCTGGCTTCCACTTCCAGGAGCTGCTCCAACGCCGTACCCACCTTTTCGGAAAACCCAGGATAGAACAGGCCCAGATCGTGTTTTATTAACGGCGGAGGGGTGCAGAAGTCGGAACGCTTGGAGCGGACGACCCCAAACAATAACCTAGACCGGTCTGCCGTGCTACACCGTACATCATATTCTTCGGATGCTCCAACGAGGGAGACACAAATGAGAAACAAATTCTGTGCACTGGGAAGCAGCTGTTCCGTAAGGCCGTCGAACAAAACAGAAAAAATGGCCATCCAGCGAACCGGCAGCAACAATCACTGACCTCACTGACCGACTTGAGCGTAAAATAGGGAGGCGGCAACAGGCTGCACGGGATCACGAAAAATAAGGCACGTGCGGTATCTAGAATCTAGCATACAATACCACTTACCGACATGAACCGTGGAGGCAAGTAGGACACCTTTCCCCGAGCCATCTTGGCGAAATCTGGCTCCTTGACCTTGATATCAAGGAGGCACAGCGTGTGCATCCCGTTCTAGGGAGGCAAGACGCGTCATGTATTGTACAACGCCGGGGGGAAGGAAAACGCCTTTCTTTCGGAAAATAGTCGGAATGGCGCTTGGCATCATGTCTTCGAATAATGCACAGGAGGAAGCAAATCAGGCAGAGGCAAGTATGGGGGTGGAAACGTGTGTGGTATGCAATATGGCATTGTGTGGCAGGCGTATGGACTAACCCGAAACGACACTATTGATAGCTTGGACACGGTATGCAATTCGCGGGGGTTGACATGAAAAATGCCAACAAAGCGCTGTCTTCGTATGCGGCGCTGAGTCCAAAAGAAAGATGAGCGTTGAGGTACAGCAACGGAGCATCGGAGAACTGCAAGTGCGTAAACAATAGCATGGTGCTCGCTCATGGATGCTGCACAGCTCTCACCATTTTGTTTACCCTGATCTTCTCATAGAAGCTGTCCGGCTCCCAATTCTCGTTCCACAACGGGATGGAGACGGTCTGTCCAAAGTTGTACAGCTGCAGCCCGCACGAAGCCACAGCGCCCATCACCGACGCGTTGTGAATCACCTCCACCTTCATTTTCATTTCCAACAAAAGGCGCATGAGCACGGCAACAAGAAGTGTTTATTGTAGGAGGATCAAGAATGAGGTTGTCGAGGGCTTGAAAACAACACCACTAAAGGCGCGCTTATCGAGATGCAGGAGTCGTACCTTGATGAACTTTTGCGGCAGTAGAAGAAGAAACACGTCCGCGGTAAGTCTACCGAGCAACGCATAACATTTCGAGCTTGCATGAAAAAGGTCGAGCGCAAGAGCATCAAAAAGGGGCCATATGTACTTAACCCCATCACGAAGGCGTGCAATGGACATCCACAAACCAAGTGCACGTCGAAAATATCCCCCGTGGATGTAGACTCGCCTTGACCCCCAACTCTCTAGCCCGAATGATGAGGTCTGTGTGGGTGGTGGCGCAGAGCGGGTCTCCGACGACAAGGAAGGAGACATCTTCGTCCTTGGCGGTGGCGTAGATGCTGTCCGCCTCCGACTCGACCACGTTGCGATCGGCCAAGACGATGTCCTTGCCGTAGAAAGCCTCCTAAGGGTGCGCGCGATGAGGTGCACAGCAGTGCACAGACCACACGCACACCGGGAACATGGAATATGGCAGAAGCGCAGGGTCGAAGGTGAACTTGAGATGGCATGTGTTTTGGCAACAGAGATGCTGCAGGAACGTGCGTGATGGCATGGAAAGCCACGAGGTTTTATGTAAAACCGCCCAGACCGTGCAGGGTCTCCAGTCGTCAGTCTGGGTATCCCAAGCCCTGAGCTTCATTCTCAACTGCACATTCTCAGCTGCACCTACATAGCAGTAGTACCTAGCGTCCAGACCATACTCCCTCCCTCTTTTTCATCACAGCGTCCACCATCCGACATTGGCCTTGGGCAATCAGTTCTGAAGTGTCTGGACGAGCAGGCAAGTTGTGACCTCTATAGGTGTGATGGTGCAGAGTTGCCCGGTTTGAACGTTTGAACACCGCAAAATACTCAGTCAAATAGTCCACACTCCACTCACCAACTTGGTTTTGTCCACCCCTAGGATTGAAGTGTAGTGTTCCAGCACCACCTTGGCACTGCCTCGAACAGCCTCCAACCCTCGCACGGTTATGTCTTTCTCGTCACCAAGACCTAACCCGATTACGTACAGCACCATGGTCACAAGCAGTGTCTGAAGCCTGGAGCAGATTTTGGCGTCAACGGGACTGTGAATTGTCCGGAGGCCCCGTGATTCATTATGAAATACCAGGGTACACCAACATGCCAAAACCGTGGGCACTTTGAGCGGCTAGACCCACCGAGCCAGACAGAGGAGAGCTTTGAAGTCGAGTTCCTTGCTTTGTTTCAGCGTGCGCGACGCATACCATCTCGAGTTGTCAATCGTAGCTTCCCTGGTGTCTCGAGGAGGAGCGAAATGGAGGGCTCTGACAACCCAATTCACAAGGGCAACCAAGCCTTCATAGACGAAGACTATCCCGCAACCCTTCAGGTACGCCCTCGCCGGGTGCCTTGCTTCTTTTCGCTACGTTGCTTGTTGTTGTCCAGCACTGCGTTTCCTCACACATGCTGGTAAGCTGAATGTGGCCTTACGCCGAGGAGTACTTGTTCGATACCTGTCCATGGGTCATCTGGTTCGTGCACGTGTGATACACAGCTTGCTGTTGGCCAAAAAATCTCTGGATTTTGGTGTACCACCGGCGATCTTTTCGTCTAGAAAAGGAAGGCTATACTACAGCAGTTGTAGTTTCAATACCGTAGCTTCATAGGCAGTACCACTCACGCTCAACATTGTTGTTCGGAGGGATCTTGAGTGAAAGAGTTGGCAATACTCGCGAGAATCCCAAAGACAGTGAGGGCACAGGGAACTCATTTCGCGTACAGCCACAGATAACTAGAGTCTACACGAGTATTGATAGCAGTCTCCCCGCAAAGGGTGAAGATATGCATATGATGATGTCAAATGGTACAGAGGGGAGG